TAAGAATAAATTTAATAAACAATATAGCATTCGTCTTAACATAATTTCACATTTTCTTTGGACTTCCTCACATCTCCCACTCCCACCTTCATCATTATAACATTTTGTCAGCAATTTATCATCTTATTTAAATTCTTATATCTCTTCGATATTTCATAATCTTAAAGTTCTCATAAAGAGTTAAACTTTCACAATTTTTCTTGTTTCCTTAAAAATTTCTAAGTTAAGTGGTGCTCAGTTATTTAGTCCAGCATCTTATTCAGCATTCAATCAAATCACAATGTTTTTGTAGGTAGTTCTTAAATTTCTTCCAATCCTCCTCGATTCTCTCTTCTCCCAGGTCACGGATTCTGCCAGTCATTTCAGCCAGTTGCATATAGTCTATCAGTTGCATCTGCCATTCTTCCAGTGTGGGTAGATCTTGGGTTTTCCAATGTTTTGCGAGTAGTATCCTTGCTGCTGTTGTTGCATACATAAAAATGTCTGGTCCTTCTTTGCCACCCCTTGGCTGACAATACCCAAAAGGAAAGCCTCTGGTTTCTTAGTGAAAGTATATTTAAATACCTTTTTCAATTCATTATAAATCATTTCCCAGAACGCCTTCACTTTAGGGCATGTCCACCAGAGGTGAAAGAACGTTCCTTCACACTCTTTGCATTTCCAGCACTTATTGTCAGACAGGTGGTAAATTTTTGCAAGTTTGACTGGGGTCATATACCATCTATAAATCATTTTCATTACATTTTCTTTCAAAGCATTACATGCAGTAAATTTCAATCCATTACTCCACAGCCTTTCCCAGTCCTCAAACATAATATTATACCCGATATCCTGTGCCCACCTTATCATAGCCGATTTAACCATTTCATCCTGTGTGTTCCATTCCAACAGCAAGTTATACATCCTTGAAAGTATCTTAGTCTTTGGTTCTAACAATTCTGTTTCTAATTTCGATTTCTCCACCTGGAACCCTAGTTTCTTATCACTTTTAAAAACTTCTTTAATCTGAGCATAGTGTAACCAATCTCGCACTTTGTCTTTCATTTTCTCCAAGCTCTGCAATTTCCAATTGTCTCCATCTTTTCTAGTATTTCCCAATATTTTGGCCATTTGGCCTCCATATTGGGTCTTTTCGGGCCTTAGCTTCCAAAGGTGAAAGCCACCTTGGTGTTTTATTTTCCAGCAAGTCTTTATATTTTGTCCAGACATTAAACAGTGATTTTCTAACAATATGGTTCTTAAAGGCCTTATTTGCTTTAACTTTGTCATACCATAAATATGCATGCCATCCAAAGACATTGTTAAACCCCTCCAAATCTAACACATCAGTGTCTTCAAGAAGTAGCCAGTCTTTTAGCCAGCAGAACGCTGCGGCTTCATAGTACAACTTTAAGTCCGGCAGGGCAAAGCCCCTCTTTGTTTAGCATCGGTTAGTATCTTAAACTTAATTCTGGGCTTTTGCCCTGCCAGACAAACTTCGAAATGTCTCTCTGCCACTTCTGAAAGCACTCCATTTTGTCCAATACCTGCAGTGTTTGAAATAAAAACAACATTCTTGGCAATACATTCATCTTAATCGCAGCAATTCGGCCTAACAAAGAAAGTTTCAATTTTGACCAACTGTCTAAGTCCCTCTTAATTTCTGTCCAACATTTTTCATAGTTATCCTTAAATAGACTTAGATTTTTGCTGTTATGTTTACCCCTAGGTATTTTACTTTTTAACCACATTAAGTTCCGTCTCATTCTGAAACCGTTCTGACTCTGTCTCAGTCAGATTTTTCCCCAAAACCTTAGTTTTCTGTTTGTTTAATTTAAATCCCGCCACCCGACCAAAATCATTAATCAATTGTAATACTCTTTTCGTACTAGGCTCTGGCTTCTGCAAGGTCAAAACCAGGTCATCTGCAAAAGCTTTTAATTTATATTGTTTCTGACCAACCTGAATTCCTTCCACCAGCTGGTCCCTCTAATCATGTTCAATAGCACTTCCAGGACCGAAATAAATAACAAAGGGGAATAGGGCAACCTTGTCGTGTCCCTTTTTCAATTTTGAACTCTTCTGTAACCACATTATTAACTATCAGTTTTGCTTTCTGTTCTGAATATATCGCCTCGATCCCATTCTCAAAACC